AGCAACAGTGGCTCTCCAGCCGACATGGACCCTCCCGAGAACACCCGTTGGAGGAAATGCGGGAGAGGTAAGGACAGTGCACACAACACAGAGTGCGATTGGGACGCAGGCAATTAGCCCAACACAAATAAGCAGAAGTGAGAGTAGACAGGAGGAAGAGAACGAGGAAATGGAGGGGAACAGGAGCAGGGATGGAACACCAACAGGGAGGGAGGAAATTAGGCTTGACAGGCTGGAGAAGTGGATGGAAAAGTGGGAGAGAAAACAGAAAGAGGAATGGGAAGAAAAGATGGCAGACCTGGAATACCTGATCAGGAAAGAAGTAGGGAAAGTGAAAATACGGTGTGAAAATTGTGAGAGGAGAAGAGGAGAGTCGGAAGAGGATCAATTGACAGATCAGCTCAGAGACACGCAGGAACGACTGAGAGTGAGTGAAGATCAGGTGGAGGAGTTAGAGTCAAAAGTGAGGCAGTGGAAAGGGGTGGCAGAGACATGGAAGATCAGAGCAGAAGAAGCAAGAGAAGAATTGAAGAAGACAAAAGACGCGACAGAAGACGGAAGGGATGTCCCGATAAGTCCAGCAAATACGGTGAGAACAGTGAGCCCGTCTGGAAGCCTCTCAGGCAGAAGGGGTGACCCTAGCACATGGAGCGAAAGCGACAGGAGGGTTGGGGGCCCTGGAGGCCAGAGAGCACAGATAGGGCAAGGGCACAGAACCATGGAAGAGCGGAGGAATGAGACCAAGAGACTGAAAGTTAGGGAGGACGAGAGGAATCAGGAGGGAGAGGGCGATGGAAAGGAGAGGGTTGAGAGAGATAGAGTCGAATTAAAGGAGAGGGGAGCAGAAGAAGAGGAGGTAGGTTTCAACAATCCACCACCAAGGAAACTGACACAAGAAGAAAGGGAAGAGGAACTAGAGATGAGAAGATTAAGAAGGAAAAACATGATTATTGAGGGATTAACATTAATCACGAGGACAAGGAAAGAGGAGTTAGAGCACTGGCTATGGGAAACACTTGGAGTGAGAGCGAGGGTGGAGAAGTTGGACAGAAGAGAGGAGGGAGGGCTGACGGTCAGAATGGAAGAGAGAGCCAGCAAAATAGAGGTAATGAAGGAGAAAACGAAGCTGAAAGAGTTGGGATGGGGGGTGTACATCTCGGACGATCTCACAGACAGACAGAAGGAGGTACAGGCATGGCTGGAAAGAGAAGCAGAAAACTGGAGGAAGACCAAGAAGCAGGCAGGGACAAAATATAACTGCATCTGTGTGGATGGTATCTGGTTGGAGTGGGATGAGGTGGAAGGAGAAATGAGGCAAAAGGTCGCAAGGGAAAGGACCGAGAGGAGAGGGCCCTTTTAGACAGCAGGCAAGCAGTGGAGAGGAAGGAGAGGAGAGAATATTAAAGATGTGGCACTGGAATGTAGAAAATTCTATAAATATAGGGAAGAACGAGGAACAGTGGAAAGAAATGGATGTGGTGATGTTTCAGGAAACACACTTAGAGACAAAAGGAATGGCAAAAATGATGGACAGACTGAATAAACAATTCGAGTGGTTTGGCAAAGAGGCGATAAGGATACACAGACGAGGGAAGGCGAGTGGAGGCTTCCTAATGGGAATCAGGAGGACACTGGAAGCAGACTGGAAAGTGGAGGAGTGGAAGTATGGGCTGAGAATGTCGATTAAAGCAAAAGGAAGCAGGGATGGGTACGTAGTAATAAATACATACAATAATGATAGAAAGAATCTGAAAAAAGTACTCAAGGAGATGGATGGTATGTTGGAGGACCTGGAAGGATCAGAAGAGAGATTGATAGTCACAGGAGATTTAAATGCGAGGATAGGAGAGTTACAAGGGATATCAGAATGTGGAACGGAAGAGAGGACAGGAATAAAAGAAAGGAGGTCACAGGATAAAACAACGAGGGACGAAGGCAGAAAGCTCGTGGACTGGTGCGAAGAGAGGGCACTATTAATCCAGAATGGAAGGGCCGAAGGAGATGAGGAGGGACAGCTAACATTCATAGGAGAAGAGGCAGATTTGGGCAGCGTGTTGCGACTATATAATAGTAAGACTGGAGGAAGAGGAAGCCCCCGGGTGGTTCAGGAGCATGGAGATAGCAGAACAAGAAGGTTCGGACCACCTACCAATCATACTGAAGGTAGATTGGAGTGAGAGAACGAAGAGAGGGGAGGAGGGGAGAGAAAATAGAGAACCGAGGTTGAAATGGAGAGAGACAAGAGAGGAAACCTTCCAGGAAAAATGGGAGAAAAGATGGACGGACAGAATTGAAGAGGTTGAGAATACGGAGGAGAGATGGGCGAGACTGGTCAAAATTACCACAGAAGCAGCACACGAAGCAAAGATGGTGACAGGCAACAAGAAAAAAGAAGGAGCGGCATGGGACACAGGAGAATACCAAGAGGAGAGGAGGAAAATGTTTAGAAGCTTGAACAGATTCAGAAGAAGGAGAGACTGGAACTCCAAACGAAGGTACAACGAACACAAGAGGTCTCTGAGGAAAATACGAGGCAGGCTGATTGCCGAGTGGATAGAAGAGAAACAGAGAGCGGTAGCAGCGAGCAAAACAATGGGGGAATGGTGGAAGGCAATGAACTGGTTCAGACAGGGAAGAAAAAAGGAAGTAAACATGGTCTCAGAGGAGGAATGGGTGAACCACTTTAAGAGCTTGCTGGAAACAGAGGAAAAGCAGGGGGAGAGGGCTGAGGAAGAGACAGTTGGACAGGATAGAGAAGAAAGAGAGACCCAGAAAGATGGACGGAATGACGCCAGGGAAGAAGAGGAGAGGGATCTGAAGCTGAATGAGGACTTGA